GCCTCCTGCTTTTACTCAGGAAACCCCAGGGTCATTCCACATGCTTCTGGTAAAATCACCTTGAAACCAGTGTAAGATCAGGCAAGGCAGTGACCAAAGGAGGCAGATTTAAAAAGGCCTCTGAATGAGGCTTTATTTGAGATATCATTCGTGGGCGGAACTTGATCAGACCCACAGAGTGGACTGGAGAAGGGTCTGAGGAGAAGCCACTAGACCTGACTTGGATTTTATGGGGCTTAGGCAGGAAGGGAGGGGCTTGGAACAGGAAAAGGTGTTTTTAGAGACCCTAGGCCCGCTGGAGTTGGTTGAGGGAGATGGCTGAACTCCAGGATTGGCCAGGGAGTCCTGATGATTGATAGGCATCAGTCAGGAGATCCCGCTGATTGATAGGCTTTCTGTCGGTGCCTGATAGATGTTTTTTCCTGAGTGGGCTGCTTTGTTCTAAGTAATCGCCACTGACCAGACAATCAGCATTTCACTTTCTCATGAATCGACCTCTATAGATACAGTTTCTTAAATTAGCTCTTTTGCTTTCTTGCACAATCTCCTGGTCTCTCTCACGGTTGTTTCCTGGGATCACCTCTAAAATGAATTATCTGCACTGCAGTCCTTGCTTCAGATTCTGCTTTCAGAACAAAGATAATGTATCACAGCAATCACTGAATAACTACATAAAATGTTTTGTTAGGTATGAAATATCTGTGTTGTTAATTTAGTTCTAGTGTTTGTTTATACCGTAGAAAAGTAGAACTTTTACAATATTTCAATATAAATATAGCTATTTTGACAATTATTATTGAGTAACACCTGACAAGCATCTATGTATTTTATCTTCCATTTCAAAATTAAATTTTTTTTTTCAGTATAAACCTAGTGTAAAGTAAATACGTTCTCCTTTTCTGCTTACTCACCACAATCACTTGGGGTATTTCTGAAAACATATCTGTAAGATTCTCTTGGATTTAAAAATATATATATATATTTTAATAAAAGATCAAACTTCCCCAAACTCTACAAATCTGAAGAATACACACATGAAGATTTTACAGTGATACAGGAAAGACAACAAAATCATATTTAATCATTTTTTATTTTTAATTTTTAAAATAAATATGATTGAATACTAAATATGATGTTTTAATTAAGATAATATTGTATCAGAAAAAGTGGAAAAGATTTCTCAAAATGTGTCATGAAGTACTTAAAGAAGTTGAGTACGTATGAGCACCTGGCCCAAGTTATCACCAACTCCTGAAGATAAATATTGATTTACTTTGGGAGCAATTTCTGAAATCACAGAAGGAAAACTTTCACTGAGATGAGTAGCTTTATAAAGGAAAGCAAATTAAATCAGCACAAACAAGTCAATGCCAATCAAATTATTAAATCAAGTTTGTTCAGCTCACATGTAGTCCTGCAAATCTGATGAAAGCTTCAGAGTTTATAACTATGAAGATCCGCATCTTCTCTGTCATGTGAATA